CACTTCGTTCCATATTATTCGAACTGGTATACGTATTTCTTATCGGGTTGCATATATATATACTTGTATAGGTATATCGTATTTTTTAGTGCGCGTGTATACAATAACATAATAAAAAGCTAATAATAAAAAACAATTTAAATAAGTTTGCCCGAGTTTTTATATACATTTGCATTTGTCTCCTATATAAAAACATATAAAAAACAAAACAAAACTTTCTCAACGTATTGCGAGTAAAAGATTATTATAATATTATAGTGTACGCTGTTGACTATTGTCAAAAATCAATAATAATTTTATTACTCTGAAAACGTTCGACGGAATCGATTATTGTCCAATGTCTGACAATAAATTTTTCGGATCGACATATTAAAATATAAATCGTAATATTGTAGAGGGTTTGTAGTGTTTTTGTTACGTCTATTGTAATGCGGACGTGTTAAAGAGACTAGAGACGGCTTTCTCTGTTCGACTATATTATATTGTTCGGTTCATAAAAAAAAAAAAAAAAATTATCTGGATCCACGTTCTCAGTCTTCACTTTCCTTACCATTGTATATGGTAGATACATAGCGTGACGAGAAAACAAAAATGATTTCAAATTTTATTTATGTTTCGTGGAACGTACCTATACACACAATATGTATTTTTAGCTCTTTTTAGAATATTAAATCCCCGTTTAAAATGAGAATCGTCTAAAAAATAAAATATTTTGTTCTTTTACTACTTGATTAATTTTTTCATTTTTGTCATCACTGTTTAATCATCTATCCCTTGGATTTTTTTTTTTAATTATCTACTGATATGAGACACTAATGATAATATTGTACAAACTAAATGTATATTATTGACAGCCCTAATATAATAGCTAACTGTTGTATTTGCCGTTTTACCATATTATATCTTAATTATATTACATAGGTTTAAAAATGATAATAAAAAAGCTGTCCTAAGACAATGAGAACGGGTGCAGCCTCTATTATAGATATATATCTTTTTATGGTAAAATAATTGCGTATGAATTATGTATTTTCTTTAATAATATTTGTTTAATATTGTACCGATTTTCCCGTTTGACGTTTTTAAAGTACCTCCCCAGTCAGATTTTCTTTTAGAAAAGTACAATCATTGCAAATTTGAGTAAAACAGCTGGTAAAAAAGTTGTCCAAAGAAAAAAAAAGAAAAATAAACATCACTGTAAAATCAATACATTCCTTGCTCCTCTCAGAATCTAAAAGTGGATTATAAAGCCATGGGCCTCACATAAAATGGTGAATTAATTATCACCAATAAACAATGCGGTTTATATAACTGTGATCGTAAATAACATTTCTGCCATTTAGCGACTATAAATTAAAATAGATTTATAACAATATTACACAGTCGAGTTATAATATTTATTTAATAAATGCCATAATGCAGCGGTTCTCAATCTTTTCATATCCGCGTATCATTTACACATTTTAACATTTTAACAGATAATAACTAATAACTTTGACAACTAATAACTTTTTTTCTTCACTTATATAAAAATGTCTTCACGTACCACCTATAAGCTATCCGAGTACCACTAGTGGTACGCATACCACAGATTGAGAATCGCTGCCATAAATAATTCGAAAATCATGATTTTTCAAATATGTTACTTTTTAAGCAGGGTTTGTAAATTAATAAATAGGTTAGGTTTTAATCTGCCTATAAAAGAACTATAAACACCATCGTTATAATTAGAGTGCTGTTAAAATGTATGTTTCATACCGTGCCAAAGTTTCAAATACGAAATTTGAAAGTACCTGTTTTCATTCATTTCTTTGAGTTTCCTGATTTTTTTTTTTTAGATATTGTTTGATCATTTTCTAATAACTTGTGATGAAGCACATAAGGCAATAGCTACCAACTAAAACTAGGGAATACTTATCTTGTCCTTAGAGCGCGAGCTGTAAAATTCCACCATAATTGTACTATATGTATACATATTTATATGTATTATATCGATATGTATCTAAAAATAATCGATATGTAACATGGCTCATGACAAAAATAAATTTAAAATAGGTACTTTTTATTGTATATTGTGATGAAACAATTATATAAAATTATGTGCACATTGTAATAAAATGTATCATTGTTATAATAAATGCGAATAAAATTTAGAAAACGTTGTTCGATTTATTGATGGCTGTAGCTAGTTAGTGTAGGCGAGTATATTCAAAGGTTTTGAAAAACATACCCAGCTTGCGGACATCTGGTTCGTTCGGTCGGTAGGTATAATAACAAACACAGACCGCAGGAGTTTGACAGCCAAAAAAATGTCGGCATGCCAATACCTTTTCCGACACTTCCGGTGGCTCGCATTTCAATGAATTATTTATATTGAATTGAAAGGGGCCTATATGTATATGGGGTCGGTCGGCTAGGTGATCGGACGAGTGAGTATAGAATCCGTCGGAAAATCTAAAACGATCCTTTCGTGTTGAATTCCTATTGCAACCGTGATAATATTATATATATATATAGAGAGAGAGAGATACACGTTCTGTCACTTTCGAAAATGTCAAATTCTCGTGCCCATTTTCCTGAAATATTATCAAACACTCCGAAAACAGGAAAACGTTTTTTTAACTGTGAGTCGATCCCCAAATAAAATTTTAATATTGATATTTTCTTTTGTTAGTTCAATATGAAATTCGAGAGAAATGGAAACTATTTTTAGATTCTGAGCAAAATGATCGGTATTACTACAGTTAATTAATGCTCTTCTCTCCTGTAACCACTTTTTCGTGCCAAAAACTATTGCTTTAATCAAAAAATGCATACGACCCTTTTGTAACATTTTAGATCTGGTGGGCTATGTATCGAATAAGTTTTTTTTTGAAACGGGATAAAAATAAAAAATCGAACACATAATTATAAACCGACAATTTTTAATTTTTGTCTCAAAAATAATATAATAAAAGGTTCATGATAAGTTTTACTTAAGAATACAAAAATTAAGTAATTGTTGACATTTGTCAAATTTTTTTTTTATATTTATGTATATAATAGTTAAAATATAAAATCGTATTTTGATGTTAAAAATCTATTAAACGTTTTCGATTAAAATTGAGTTCAAATTGTTGTATGTGTTTTGATTAAATATGTTTGCAATAAAATAGTTTTAAATTGAAAAAATTCTATGTGTACGCTGTTCGATGAAAAACAACACAAACGCAAATATGATACTCCATTTCAGACAGGTCAAACAAACAAATCGTCTATTATTGATCAAATTCAAATTTTAGATGATCGACCAATTAAATGTAGAAATTTTTTTGTTACAGATTTACAAAAACATCGTACACATGTTGATGTTGACGGTGTTATTGGAATTGTAAACTGTTTCGCAACGGTGACTGGTGAGTACGCCTGATATTTACGAATAATATTTAGTTTGTATAAGTTATACTATAAAAATGAGACTTGGTATAAAAGTAGAAATCCTAAATTTTTTTACAGTTTAGTTTATGATAGACTAAGCATAAACGAGTTAAAAAGTTTAATAGTTGATATTAACTTTTAATTTATCGTTTAAGCATTGATTTTTTCATTAACCTGATTTATTTATTTTACAATAACCTTATTGAGAACTAGTTATTAAATTTGAATTGTATCACTTTATATAAGTACTTTTAATAGATTATAAGTACTTATAGTTCTGAGTGTAAAATAAATAGTTAAATAAATAATTTAATATTTCCAGAATAATTTCATCCTGCTAAATATTGATTATCATTTTTTTCCTGAAGATAAACTCGGTTTAATTGTTTCTACTATAATAATAAAAATTAAAAATTAAATTTAAGCTTAAAATTTCAATGAATTATCAAATTGACTTTTAATTTACCTTAGTTAACTAATATCACAATGAAATTTTAACTTGTTAATTCACTGACTTTTTTAAAATTAATTTAACTTAACTGAGTTAATATTATAAATTAACTTGCCTATCCTTAGTTTTATATTACTGTAACATTCTGTGTATACGAAAATGTTATCAAAAAAAAATCAAAACAGCAATTATTGTTTTCTTTATACGTCTCGCTCGCGGAATTTCTTTGATGTTTATCAGCCTGAACAGTATTAGGTACTTACTACTTGTGCATGCAACTTTATTAATCAGTAAAATAATACTATACAAAATTGAATGAATAAATATAAAACAACATAAAATAAATAAATAATTATAATTGTGTGATCATATCTATTAAACTGAATACTAATCGTTAAACAGTACGACCTAGCGTAACAGTATCGACCTGGTTGACAATAATTACCTACCTAAAGTTATTGTTTAACTCTTGACGATTTTTATTTTTAATGGTTTCATTACGCTGCGATTTTCAGTTTCAAAGCATATTTTATATATGTATTTAATATATATACTACCCACCTATCCTCTTTACCACAAAGTCCATATTATTTCAACGATCAACTTTTATTCGGTTTACGGCTCGTGCGGTTTAAAATTTAAACGATATAGGTATGCCATAATGGCATGTAATTTTGAAAAGCACCGAATAAATTCCCAAGGGGAAAATATAATGCGTTTTCATCGGTTTCATATTAGTTTTTTGATTTCGTGGTGGCTATTATCAGCGCCCGAATATAATTTGAACGGTGGTCAAAGATTAAATAAACGTGCTGGCGTAAGTTTCATAATATGTCTTCGATAAGTTTGATTATATACGCGTATACAATGAAAAATCTACAACTGCAGAAATTAATTATTATTACTATTATTTTTATAACCTTATAACTAAACCGTTTCGTAATAACACCAAATTGGAAGTTTTCAAAACGAATAATATGGGATTTTAAAAATGTTCCAGATACATATTGTACTAGTTTAATTTAATATGGATATTTATAGCCAGTTACAATCTATACAAATATGATCACCATAACACCAATACGGCGCGTTAGTTATGCAATATTAATACAGTCTTGCGAAGTAGGTATTCACATTGTTATTTTCTTTTTCAGTGCATTCTCTAATAAATTGTATTGGTATGTTTTAACAATTTTTGAAAAATGTATTTATTTATAATGCTATTCATGACTTGGTTTTTTTTTTTAAAGTTATTAAAAACCGAATAATTAATTAACCTAAAAATATCGAGGGAAGGAGGAGGGGAGTGAATGCCCCCAGTACCTTCTGAAGTTCTAACAATTTCACTGCTGCTATTAAGAGGATTTTCAGTTTGGAGTATAAATTTCCTGTTCTTTTAAAAAGTCCGCAATTCCTAGGTGTGATACTGTATTTTTAGAATCGGTACGTGCTCCCTCTCTCCTCCTTCCTCTCTGGCAATGGTATCCAATATTCAGAGGTTATTAAAATTTCCATCCTCAAAAACTCTGCAATTTCGAGATGTCACTGTCAATTTAATATAGGTACCCATATAATATTTTGAAATTAACTTTTAAAAACAACTTTTCAAGAATTAGGTAGGTTAGTGGATAAGACATTAGGATAAGTTATCGGGTAGGGCAAGGTATCTGGTTCAATTTCAGGTGGCAACAGAAATGAGATACTAATTTTTGCATTTGTTCTCATATTATCGTATACAATTATTTTTTAATAAACTATTAAAATCTAGTAGTAAAATTATTAAAATCTATCTAGTTGTAAACTATTAAAATGTCTTATAGTTTGTCCGAAATGACTATTGGAGAAATATTAGTAGTTTTCTAATAGTTTTTTTTTTACTAATAGAGAAATCATACGTTTTAATCGTTTATTAAATAACGTATTGTAATTAATTGCACTGTATTATTCTAACACAATAATATACTTATACTGGTACTAAGTTGGGTGGCAAAAATTATCTTAATTATTTAGACACTGTTAGTTAAATCTCAAAACTGAAAACAGAAACGTATTTACGCGATAAATTTTGTTTCGTTTTTCGAACGATTCATGAAACTATTTGAAATATTTCATCGGCTACGTGGCGGCGGTTTCTCGTACCTAAAAATTAATTTTGAATACCGTACAACGCACAACCGAAAACGAGGTCGTGATTTTTTTTTTTGTTTAAACTCACGGAACTCGGTCGTGGTGAGGATACATAGGTACATACGTGATAGGCCGGCTTGTATAAAACCGCACGCAGTATAACTCTGCTGACGTGATGTATTGTGACCAACGACCCGGTAAGCGGTATACCGCGCGTGACCGGCCGAATACAACCGCCACGTGGATGATGATTATAACGCAATATTATTAGTTACAGTTTCGCGCGTAATGATAGTTCCGACTTTTGACGGGGCATAACTCTTGCCTAAAGTGTTTTACGGCTCACTCGAACAGTAGCAGCAGGTGTATATAATAATAATAATAATATAATAATTGGTCGGCGGATGCGTTTTACGCGTTTCGGGCGACCGTTCGTGGTAACCGTATAGAAGGTTAGGTTGGGAAAGACGTCCTATTTCAACGGTATCACAGACCAAAGGTCGTAGCTAAGCAACTAGGTCATATGTCGCGGTCGTGTTGTATTCTGATTTGCCGTTGTAATCAAGACCTACCGAAAAATTTTTGGCGTTTGGTTGAATTTGCTTTTTCTCTTGTTTAGTTAAAAAATACAAAGGTAAATTAATTTTTTCGCGAAATCAGCATATTAACACTTATTAATTATATCTAAAAAAAGTTGAATTATTATGTAAACTATATGAAAAAACACTTCATCGTTGTTGAAATTTTGCAACTAAAACGTCTATCGTGTCGAGCAACTTTAAAAGTGAACAAGTATACCGAAAGCTAAAAAAAATATTTTATTTATTAGCAAGAATTCAAAATTTTTCGATAGATCGTGGTTAATACTGTGATGTAACCACACATTAAGGAAGCCAATTTTAAATACGATTGAGATACACGACACGACATACGATTTTGTTATAAATAAGATTGCCAACAGCATTTTTTTTTTTTAATTTTGAATTTCTGGATACCAAACAATTTTAAAATATACAATTATATGCAAATGTAAATGATATAATTTTTTTAGTAAACGACATCCTGATACGTAGATCATATTAGTATTTAGGTACCCAAACATTAAATTGAATACCTAGATAGAAAACAAATTACGAAATTTCATAAATATCCGAACCCTGTATGTAATATACAGCTCCGCTCAGAATCTAAATTCATATTTTTGAGGCTAGTTATTTTATTATGTTCAGCTCTTAGATATTATATTTTTTTAATAAAAGTTTATCATTGCTTTAGAGTACTTATGAACCCGATAATCTACGATTATTTTAACAAAGAATTTACGTAAAAAATTACTGTCGCATCACATGTTCAATTCTTCCTTTTACTGTGACCGTTTTATTGAAATACAGTCACATCTAACAAAAAAAAAAAAAAATGACAATTTAATTTATCGTCATATTTAGGAGAATGAACCTACATTTCATTTTATTATAAAATGTCATATACTCACCGTTATAGTACAACACGCTCGTAATGTTATGTAGCATTTAGTATTTTAGTTTTTAATTTCGAACGCGCAAATAAAATATAATTACGTAGGTATAGTATTAACTACTCGTTCTATTTCCGGTTTAGTATCTTTCAAATCGGTTTCGCCCGAAACTATAAATTCCGTGCTATGGTATCTTGTATAATAGGCGTGCGAATTATAATAATAATATGATCATTATTATATTATCGGACGACTTTGAGGCGGGACGGTATATAAATTATTTGTAATCGAAACATGCCTCCACCCACCCGTCCGAGGATCCGCGTGTTGCCATGTTAGGTTAGGTTAGGGTGGGCATGGTATGGTTTTAAACAACCGGTAACCGCACGTACGGGGTACAAACTCGTGCGCAGGATAAGTATGCTAAAAGGTTCGATTTCGGTTCGTCCCACGGGGAGTCCCGAGACCCCGGCGAAACGGACAGTAATGTTTGCGGTTTACAGGCCGTGGGAGTTGCCAACAATAAATAATAACGACCTTTATGTATACTATTATTATATTGTAGTCCTTCTCGTCAAAGTATTCAAAGTTACATCGACACACGCCGGCATTCCCGTCGTTCCTGCGAAATCCCCACGATCGGTGCTGATCTTTTTTTACTTTATATATTAGAGTTTTTAACGTTAAATAATTGCAAACGGAAATATATGCTAACCAGTGTAGTGCATTCGTTTTTTTTTCCCGTTGTTGTCGAGGTAGTCTAAAAATAATTTTAACAAAAACTATTTAGTGGATGCCTATTGAAAATTTCAATAAGTGTTTTAAATAAATAGTACCACCGACCGGAAATTCCACATACTTTAATGTACTGCACGAACGAATTTTAGTATCTAAAACGTGTAATACATTGTATAATAAAATATATAAATACAAAAAGCAATTTTTTTTTTTTTTTTTTTGATATTTTTCCCGACATTTTTGGTAGAATCCCGTAAACATCATTATTTTACGTTTATAATTATGAATAACTGGCATTATAATAATTTAACAAAACCCGGCGGTTAATACGTTTACGTATCGTTAAAAATTTCAGACAGATATATTTCGATTGAAAACTATTGCGGTGCGGCGGTTGAACCCGTTCGTTTCGTTCATCGTCTAATAATAATAATAATAATATAATACCGCAAGTAATTGTAACTCCTCGATTGCGGATTTTATCTCTCGAACGTATTATAAATGTACCTTAAGAACCATGTTGCTTCTGAATATCAGTTTAAGTACAAGATATTATAATATAATAATAATAATAATAATAGTAGTTATAATTATTTACTATACACAAGCAATTACATTATAGATTTATAATAATTATAAAGGATCCGGCGGACCGAGAGATAATAATATTATAGACAATGTAATCTCGCGAACCCAACACGGATTTCCGTATTGTGTTTTCGTCGTCGTCGTTACGCTCGTATATATATATACCATTAATATAAACAATATGTGAGTATAAAACATATCCTTTCTTTTTGTACGGGCAAAATCCAAAAGTATAATTTTAAACTTGAGCGCTCATAAAATAATGTATTTTATTTTTATAGTACATACGCGACTCTTTAATTTTACGACGGACATTCGCTATTGCAGCGCGGCAATTCGTTTACGAGTACCTATTATTTTCCAACAATTTCTCGATAAATTTCGAACTGCTCGTGTCTGCTATCTGTCTGATCAACGATATTATTATTTCACAATCACGTTGTCGTTTCGTTTAGCTAAAAATCTAATATTATAGATTCGTTTCTCGTATCATGAACCCGGAAATCATTACACAAATGTCTAGTAAATTATTTTGATTTCCCGCGTATTATTTTTAAAATTAGTTCTTGTGGAAAAGTGATCTCATCGTTAACATTATTTTCAACGATTTTAAATGAGATGTACGTATTGTATCGTGTATGAATAATAGCAGTTGAACAATATCATAATACTCAAGATTATAAGACACTTATCTTTTTACTTATTTGTTGTCCTCTTCTATGTTTTAAATACGAAGTGTTCTGTTATATTTTATCTATAAGCAAAATCAACCGAGTTCTAATTCGTGAATGTATGTTAATTTTTATCCTTCATGACTTTCCATCGACTGCAACAGGGGTCTACCCTTAGTGATGTGAAGTAGGTTTGGGGTTTTTTTTTTTATCTACTTCCAATGTCATTTGACTGGGGTTTTCTTTTTAATACTTTTGGCTAAAATCCAGCCAGTAGTGTTTTATATTCTTTAGTCTCTTTATGTATAGAACCACCAGCCCCGCCCATTTTTACTTATCTTAACCATACTATAATAATATAAGCAAATCATCGCCAATACTGCCGTCCCATCAATCGTCGTTTGCCAACCGTCTACATTGTAATCAGAAATTACGGGGTATTTTTTTTCATGTAGCATTTACAACCGAATAAATTGCCTTAAAAACCACAATACCGTGTGTTGGACTATCATTTAAGTGAGTTCACACTCGCGTTTTGGCAATTCAAGATTTATTCTAGTCGTTGCCCTTAAGAGGACACCAAACCTGCATCTATTAAACTACCGATTTAAAAAACGCAAAACATAGAACATAATACCTATACGTTCAGCAGAACTTATTTTGTATGATCAGTTTTAATACTTAGTTAGTTTTAATATTTTAGATTGTACAAATTGTTAACTGATTTATATTGTTTAATTTATAGGTTAGACTCCTGGGTCCCCACATGAGAGCCTCGGTGGGACCCAATATTCGTGTTTCTGAGAAACAAATAAATAATTATGATAATATCTGAGTAAATTAATCTATTGTAAAAGTCAGAGGTAATACAATTCTCTGTGTTCTTATGTACATTTTTTCCGGCATGTATTTTAGTTTTAAGCAAGATAAAAACATGATCTATAAATAAGTAAAATATAATAATTTATTTAAAAACGCTTATCGCTTAAAAATGAAAATATTGAGCAAAAATCTAACGTAGGGACATATGCAATGTCTTAATTTTAATATTGGTAATAACAGGTCGTTAATGCACTCTAATATTAAAACCAAGAGCACAAAATGTGTTCTACTGAACTCAAATTTTAATGTCGCGTGTTTGTAAAACATTAAGACGGAGACAGTTGGACTCTTAAATCTTAAGTACTATTACATTTCAAAAATATTGTGAAAAGTGATATCCTAAAAATACGGTCATACTCTGTGCGTGGGTGGGCCACTGTTGTAGGTGGGAAGTTGGAAAGGTAGAATACAGACGAGAATTTAATGTACATCTGTAAGCGACAATTAACCATTGTTAAATAAAAAATGTTTTTCCCTCCTAAAGTACCACCCTAGCACTAGACTTTCTTTCAAAAAGTGCTGCACTAGTAAATTGGAACAATATTTCTGGTACAAAAGTTGTTCACAGATAAAAAAAAATAAATATTATTATAAAACCACAAGCTTCTTGGCTCCACTCAGAATCTAAAGTGCAAAAATCTCGAAATATGTATTATTAAAAATGTATACAACACATGTGTATAACATATGTAAAACACAATGCATATAACACAATCGTTATAAGTCATTACACACATTTTCTTTTTTAAGTCGCCGATACAAATACTTGAAAACACAATAAATAGTATTTTGTAATAACTGCAGGTTGCCTGGGTTTTTGAAGAAAAATAAATTAAAATGTAAAAATGAAAAATGTGTTTCTTGGTATTTTGTTTTTGGTTTCTCGGGTTTATTATTTTAATTATATCTTCAGTTCCAAGGAAGAATCGTTGATGTCAATTGTTTGGATTTTTTCTATATAATTTTTTTATATGCAATTTTATCGCTTTTTTATTTTTAGTTTATATTGTATATACGTATGAATTTTTAATACGTGTTATACTAAACAAAAATTTACTAGAATTAGAACAAAAAAAAAATAAAAAATATTTATTTATTTACAATTTTACATTTACTTTACGTAATTAAAATATTATATTTTATATTGAACAATGAAATATCAAATTACTGTTTTTCCATTATAAATACATCTACAACTTTATTAAACGTATTCTACATATCTTTGTGTATATTTAAGAGAGTTAATCCATTTTATCTGTTTGTCGAGTTTTTATTCTAAGATATGTTTTAAACATTCAATGAATATATAATTAATGATAAACAAAAAATTAAAATCAAACATTTGTTTTACAATTATACGATTAAAGGAGGGTTTGGACCCAGGGTCTATCCTATTGGTTGTGCTTCTGAATTAAGCTATTTAGAACGCCTGCATTTGGTCAGATGCTTAAGTAATTAAGATATTTAGTAATTTACGTAATTAAATGATTTCTAAAATGTAATTTGTTTGTATTGAAATCTATACAAATTGAATTAAATTCTTTTTTCTCCGGGGCTGTGACCAAAAATTTTGGACTCAGGATTTATTAATTTTTAATTTTTTTTATAGGAGGTACTGTTGATGGATGATTTCCCCCCTCAAACCATCAAGTAATCGTATTCTTATCATTACCACTATCCAATACACTTATTGTGTTTTCTGTATAGATTGCAAGTATGATTTAAAAAAAAAAAAACTTTTGTACATCTATGTTATTAAATCTCTCTGGTATCGTTGTAGTTTTCACCATATTATACAATAGTTCTATGGTTTATATATATTACTGTGTTTGGAAATCAGTATTATTTTTCAAAACGCGACCTTATCCAAAAGTATCGTCTTATTCTATTATATCATTGTTTTCAATTATTATATACGCTTGTAATGCAACCTTTTCGGAAAGTTTGTCGTTCTGCAAATGCGTTTAGTGAAAAATGAAATACATTTATATAATATTTTATATACATCATTATGAAACTAAATAATATCCACCTACTATCTCGCCTTTTTCCCCGATTTCGAAACATACATTCGGTTGTTTTCCAAACATAAATCTAAAATGTAATAAAAATATATATATATTACATACATATTATATTGTATTCTCGCCTACGAATATACGAAATCTGTTGTACAGGATGGTAATAAATTAAAATTATTTTTTTTTTGTACTTTATTATTATTTGCGTATTATTCGTATAATTCAATTATGAAAAATATTCTACAAAACATTCGTTCGTAATTTGTATGCGTTTAAAATAACAATAATTATGATCTATACTAATTATACTAAATGAGCGAAAGAAGAAATTCAACAAACATTTCCGATAGATTTTTACAGTTTGGTGGTAGCCTAATTTATATTTTCGTCCCGTGGTTGCATTCAGCAGCAAACTATAACTACAAAAAATTTATATATATATATATATATTGTTAAAAACGAACTCGCCGTAAAGTTTTCTCGTTTTCTACATCATTTTTCGAGAAGTTTTTTCGTACGCTTATGTAGAAAAATTATTCGCCAGGAATATATCTAAAAATGATCGCTTTAAAGTAGTTCGATTTACCGTATCGACCGTCCGACCGAAGCGTATGCAGCTGGAAACTTTTTTTCAAACCACTTTTATGCTACTCAAAAATGTTTTTCGTAAAAAAATATCACGAATTCGTTGTTAAACTAATAGCTTTCGGTGATCATAAGTTTTTTTTTTATTTTTTGTCATAACGTGTACCAATAACTAAATATAGTGATAAGTGTCTAATGATAAGTGATAAATAATTGATTCTTTCATCACGTACTTCCAGTGATCGCCTACGAAAATGTTGAGTTACATTTAATTTTTGATATATTTTTCTTTTAGTGATCATAGTAACCGCTAATCCTCGAAAAGGACAGACCTTATATATTCGTGGTCATGTAGAGAGATTTTCAGAGTTCTGATGGTCCACGGGTACGCGTTTTCTTGAATTATTTATATCTAATGCACTTAGCACGAGCTTTGATTTAAAATTAATAGAATCAACATTATGATGGAATAAAATAGGTTAGCCCGAGAGCGGTCGAAACTACTGACGGTGTTAGCCGTCATACATAATTATTATTATTTCCGTATCAGGGATGTGAATTTAATGCGCTAAAAATATAACTAATTCTGATCTCCAAAACATCTGCTAGAAATGTAAGGTTAACTTATAGAATCATTAAAATGCCACAATACAGTCAAATTTACCATGAAATATTTCCATCAATCCGTTAATGAGATATTCCACTTTTAAGTTCAGGTAATAGAGGAAGTAGAGAAAAGTAGAGTACTATTTAAATGTCATGTACCATACTGTCACTCAAGTTATGCTCTACCACTCTTCCCTTACCCATACTTAAAAATGAAATATCTATTCAAATCAAACGTTTTAATACCAAACTGCATTTAAACACAGAAATTAACTATGTCTATTTGTGCAATTTTTAATATACATTGACATTTTAAAATCAAAAGTAGGTAGTCGTTTCACTCCAAAAAAAAAAAGAACAATGATTCATTTAGGAATATATGATTTCATAAATAATTTGAATGATCCTGTTTAATAGGTGATTAAAATATCAAAAAAAAAAAAAAAAAAAAACCACTGAATTCAGTAAAATGAAATGTTTTGAAATTATAATAATTAGACAAGTTTATTATTGAGTATTTATGAACTAGGTAGTGCCTAGGTTTATTTCTTATTGATTTTGATCATTTAGTATGTATCCACTTTAAATCGAATTTAGTGTTTATATTTTTAGAAATTCCATCCACATCACCAAAGCTCTGGCAAGTTCAAAACAGATTAGGATAGACTGTCCTCAGTTTTATACTTGCCCTTTTTTTAACGTAGTAAAACTATCAAAATAGGTATTTTTTTAGTTTTCGTAATGTATTATATATTGTATAACTTAAAAAAAAGGGGTGGGGGGGTGTAGAAAAAACCTATACAAAATATCGGGTATTAGAAGAGTGCCATATAGCCTCAACACTAAATATTACATCAAAATCTTAAAAAGGAAAATTTCAAACGGCGAAATCTTAAACACAAATATACTTATCTCGATCCGGTTTTGTCCTGTCTCGCATCAGCGAGATTCAGGTTAACATTTAGGGCACTTTCTTTCTTGCAATATATTATTGATTATTGGTAAGGTAAGCTGTTATCCTCCCTCGTACCCTTTACTGGGGTAACACTCGAGTTAGCGAATGAAGCGGGCAATCGACCTCCATCCCATCAAAGTTTCAAATTCAAAATTTGGCCGTTCTAAGTATTTTATTTAAGATATTTACGTAACTATACATTTAAGATTTTTGCTTTTAACCGTTGGTACGGCATCCCCCGTATATTAGTTGAAAATAATAATATATTATATAGTCTAGCGCGATAAAACCGTGCGAATTTCCTTTTTGAGTGTGAGGTGAGGTTGGAGGATTGGTTGTTGATTTTTAAAGTAGACAATTATTTGGACACTCACTCGCATATCCAACGCGCTGTACTGTATAATAGTGATTTATTCGAGCTCGTTTCGTGTGCGTGCCGTATAAATAATTGTTCATAGCTGGAAAAGATAAACATTATTCTTCTTAATTATTTATTAGCTCGGCCAGGAAAGACGTACCACCTACCTACTCGTATTATACGTAGGTATATACACGCATTGAGATAGACTTAAGTCAG